TTAATTTTAGGCCCAGTCTAGAGTCCCCAAAGAGAGGGAACAACTTTCACACTCGAAAAAAATACATAGCATTAACAGATCAAATGCAGAATTTATTATCTTAATTTGACATTATAAATACCTCTCAACAGCCAATAAATGCAGATTACGAGCTAGTCCACTTCCTATATTGATCAACCAAAACACCTGGTGGTACATGAACTTGTCTCAGTTTGCTGTGACCTGTATGAGGACTCGCAAAGTTCTCTTTCAGGATTATTCAGTCATGAGAGAATACTGAATACTGGAAGGAAATACAGAAGTATGCAGAAAATGCTTCTTCATTAGGATGATGGGAAAGGATTTGTTTCCTTAGTTTCTACAAATCTAATGTCATTCAGGCTATACAATTCATTGTAAATGCACACTTTCCATAATTACTCCCACTGGAACCTCTTGAAAAGTGACCCAATTAATATGAGTGGGAAACTGCACACAGTGGCTAGAGAAGCTGTGGTAATCTGACCTTCAACATTTGTATCATGGGCACTTGTTAGATATGCAGAATTACAGGCTCACCACTCACCTACTGAACTAACATCCACATTCTAACAACACCCCCTTTGACAACACCTCGACGGGTTGTTTTTGGTTTGTTTTTGGTTTGTCTGGTTTTGTTGGTTGGCTTTTTGGTGCTGAGATCAAACCTGAGGCCTCACACACACACAGAGCAGGTGCTTTTCACTGAGCCATATCCCTGCCCCATGTCTGTAGACATCTTGGGGGCAGGCGCTAATGGCATCTCATGGCTAGAGGCCAGATAACTCCATGAGACACCGGACAGTCTCCCACAAGAAAGAGTCATCAGGTTCTGAATGTCAGAGGTTGAGAAGTCTTGTTTGTTTTTGTTTTTGCCTTTTGAGTCACAACCAGCAATGCACAAGTGTTACTCCTGGCTTCACACTCAGGAATTACTCAGGGGACAATATGGGATGCTGAGAATCGAACCTGGGTCGGCTGCGTGCAAGGCAAATGCCCTACCCACTGTGTTATTGCTCCAGCCCCGAGAATCCCTGATCTGGAGGGGGAAAAAAGATAGTCTTTCACACTCCATACTGGCCACAAAGAAAGGAAACAGGAGAGAAACTGTTTTTTTCCAGTTCCAATTTTTCAATTCTATTATTCACTTCTTTTACTGAGTTCTTTATGTTGCATATTTCTTATATTTTCATTTATTTTAAATTTAATTGTATTTTATAAAGTAGTTCACAATATTTGATTACATTTAATATTTAACCCTCTCGGAGAGCCCGGCAAGCTCCCAAGAGTATCCAGCCCACATGGCAGAGCCTGGCAAACTCCCCTTGATGTATTCAATATGCCAAAAACAGTAACAAGTCACACAATGGAGACATTGCTGGTGCTCCCTCATGCAAATCAATGAACAAAGGGAGGGCAGTGCTACGGTGTTATTTAATATTCAAACAGCAATCCCACCACCATTACATCTTCCCACCGTCATATTTCAGATGTTTCCATCCCAAACCAGAGTCATTTTTAATTTAAAAAAATTAACAGTCTGGGGGTATGATGCCAGCAGCAGGTCAATCTATACCTGTGAGGCAAGTGCATCAGCAGCCTGATGGTGCCTTCAGACTTCTAGATACTCCAAAATTGCTGCTGTGCGCCTTTGGCCAGACCCCAACAACTTGGGACCAAGTTTACCAAGAAAGTAAACGTCCAAAAGTTAGGCATGTGGGAGACACACCTACAAACCACCTCCGGCTCAACTATATAATTAGAGGCAAGGCCTCTCTGGTTCCTGATCAAACTGCTTAATGGCCATGATCCCAGAGACTCGGAAACAAATCTCGGAATCCAGCGGCTTTTGGCAGAAATGCATCCGGTCCCTGCAGTAGGTTACCGGCACCAGGCCACCCCAGATGGGAATAGGTTTCGTGCCTTGGCCTGTTCCCCCTGGCGGCTTGATGGCCACCACCATCCAGAGGCCATTGGACAGTCAGGTTTGGGCCCGCAGGGATGAAACACGTGGGGCCTCATGGGATGGGAGTGGAGCTGGGCCCTTTCCTCCCCGCCCCAACTAGACCCCGAGTCGCCACCGATGAACGGCCTCTCTGGCTCCTGATCAAGCTGCTTAACAGCCATAATCCCAAAGACTCAGAAACAAATCTTGGAACCTGCAGATTTTGACAGAAATCCCTCCAGATTTAATTGTTAAAATTTCGGAATTCCAAAATCGTGCAGCCACTACTGTGGCGGTGCAGCATCATATGTTATTCAGAACCAGTAATAGAAAACAAATTGTCTACGGTTGCCTTTTCGGCAGATCTGAGTGCTGGTGTAAAATCCCAAATAATAATGGTGGGTATGGGGTTGAAATATTGAATGAAATCAACGTGGAGAGAGAGTAATGTGGAAATCATCTGCCCCACAGGTAGGAGGGTGTGGGACGGGGTGCATACTGGGGTTTTTGGTGGTGGAAATTGGGCACTGGTGAAGAGACAGGTGTTTCATCATTGTATGACTGAGACTTAAACCCAAAGACTTTGTAACTGCTCTCACAGTGATTCAATAAATTTATAAAAAGAAGAAAAAAGTAAGGTGGAGTTCACACCCAATTCAATCAGCCTAGCCAATGGCTGAATAAATAGCAATACTCCTACATTTAAAAAAATTAAGTTGTGTGAAATTAAGGACATGAGGCATGTGAGTACTCTGAGGTATAAAGGTCACTACATTCGCACTTCTGTTAGCTACTGAAAATGTTAACAGAAATGAGAAGAAAAACTTTTCTTAATTCACATTTTCTATAAAGAACTATTTTTTTGTTTGAATGAAAAAGAGCTTAGTGATTATAGTTACTAAGAACAAAGTCAGTCACCAAAAAGCACAGTTGGGAAATAAGCTCGTTTCCATAAATCACTGGACAGTCGCGGGCAGATCAGCTGAGAAGGCTTGCATTATCTCCCTGTGCTAGTTAATTACCTATTCTTTAATCTGGGCTAAATTGGCTCCTGAGTCCCTTTTAAAGCTCCATGACCTTCCCTCAGCCAAGTAGGTATGGCTGCTGGCAGACTAGACATTTTCTTTTTCTGGGAACTGGCTCACAAAAACAGTAAGAGGAGTCATTAAGACTAAGATGAATATAAAAACTCTGAAATATAAATGGTAGGAAGGGACTGAAAAAAAAAGTGCTATTGCCCCTCCCATTGTATAGAAGAAGTAAAGGATCAGCAAGGTCAAGTATCAGCCCTAAGGAAACTCAGCAAGGTCCTGGCAGGGTTTCTGACTACAGAGAGCCTCAGCCATTCCGCCACAGCTTAACATTTAGGAGCGAGCGTCCAAGTTCATAATCCATTCCATGTTAATTTGTTCTTCAAACGACTCCTTGCAAAGAACACAGAATACTGGAGTGTTCGAGCTGGAGGGAAACCTTTTCTGAGACCCGCGCTTTGCAGATGAAACAGAGAGATTACGGTTCCATTCGTTCCATCCACAAACACTGGCTCCTATAATATTGGCGGGCTTGGAAATACAAAAATAAACAGGATACAAGGCAGTTCTTAGGAGCTCTGTGGACAAAAATAAAGCAAATGTAATAAAATCTAATCGTTATTATTAGAGATATTCATTCACTCTAAAATAGAGTGCCGGCAGAAAGGAGAATTAATCAGTTGTGATTGTCTGCTAAGAATCCTGAATACAAGCGAGAATAAAGAACTCTGAAAGCCATTTCAGCTTGGCCACAATATTTCATAAGAAAACGTATGAGAAAGTTCCATTTTCTCCAAAGTGGGTAGAGCACTACTGTTTAACAGAGTTTCAAACTGAGGGCCTGGCATTTGCAATATATTATTTCATCCTGGGAATGACTCAGAGGTAAGCAGTAATCCCAATTTTCAAAAATGGAAACCAGCTAAGACAAGTCTATTGAAGTCTAGATACCCTGGAAGTCATTGGTCTAACCCAGGTTTGTCTGACTGCAAAATAACATTCTTCTCTTTCTGTTAAATTGGGACAATCTGCCTGGGATTCTCTCTGTTTGATTACATTACTTCTCCACATTATTGCTCTTCCTGATATATTAAGCAATGCATCCCTGCAATAAGTTGGCTTTAAAGACGATTACCTCCAGGAATTCGGAACTTGTAGTTCTTATATCTTAGAAAGGTTCTTATTTAAAGGTTCCCTAAAAAAAAAACCAGAGGTAGAAAGTGAAATACTGATGCAGCAAACTTCGAGTTCATCTTCTGATTAAAGGATCCTATATTGCTACTTTTCTGCAAGATATTGAGAGTACTGGTTTATGAAAGTTTCAGGAGCACTTAAAACTCAGGAGCAAGGCCAGAGAGATAGTACAGGGGGTAGTAGGCGCTTGCCTTGCCAGGCTAGCTCGGGTTTGATCCCCAGCATCCCATAAGGCTGCCCGAGTCCTCCAGGAGTGATTGATCCCTGAGCCACAAAGTTTTATAAGAAAACCACAGAGCCAGGAGTGAGGCACCCCCCACCGGGGGGGGGGGGCGTGTATAATTCGGAGGCGCTAAAGCATCTTTCCTAGTTTCTACTCCCGTCTGAGACATCTTGACATTTCGAAAAGCTCAAGGTGCAAACGAAGAATTCAATCACCCGGGTGTCCACTGCCCCTACGCGCTCCGCCGGACACGTGCAAATTTCCAAAGGCTCCGCGAGGGGGCAGGGGCGTGGGGCTGGAGGGAACAAAGGGGAGGAGAGGACGCCTCGAGCCCTCGTTTAAAATGAACCCCAAGAGCCTGCATACTTCCCGGGGACTCGAGCTAGCTTGCGAGCAGCCCGGCCGCGACCAGGACACGAGAGCCGCACCCGCATCAAGCGCACCTTTTCTTGGAAAAGTTGTGCCCGGGTGGCCCCGCGGTGCCCAAGCCGCAGGCTCTAGCACAGATTTCAGCGCGGCCTCTTCCTCTGTGTTGACCGTCTCCCGCGGAAACCTGCCCCCCGCCAGCCCCCCGCGCACCCCCGCTCACCTCTGGCCGCGCCGCGCCCCGCGCCCGCCGGACCCCAGAGCCCGGCCACCAGCTGGAAGAGGAGCTGGAGGCGCAGCGCGATCCCCGACCCCCGCGCTGCCATCGTCCGGCACCCGCGCGGCTTTCTGCGGATGGAGCGGGCAGTCTGGGCGGGCGTGAAGGGAAGACGAGCTGCGGTTACGGGAGCCTGCAGCAACTCGGCTCCGGGCCCCAGGGCAGCCACCGCAGCCTCCGGGATTCGGACCGGCTCGCGGAGAGCTTGGAGAAAGCGCCGGCGCCTGGCCCCGCCCAGATCACGCCCCTCTGCTGCTTGCTCCGCCCCCGACCCGGACTCGTCCCCCCTGACCACGCCCCTCGGCGCCTAGCCCCGCCTCCTTTCCGGCGAGCCTTTTCCATTCCCGGTTTTGGCCCCGCCCCATCTGCGTCTAGGCCCGCCTTTTTTCATATCTAGCCCCGCCCTGGGCCCGCCCCACCTCCGGGCAATTCTTCTAGACCGTCCCTGCCGCATATCCGGTCCCAGCCGAAGAAAGGTGCGAGGCCGGCTTCGAAGACGGGACCCAAGCCTAACCACTGGCGACCTAAAATTACCGTTCATTAGTGTCTTGTGTTCAGCACGAAGAGGGAAGCCCGAGGACAGGCTGCTCCCAGCAGATAGGAAATCAGAGGATAGTTGTCATCAGAGCTGAGAAGGGAGGCTGAAATAAAGCCGGTGGAAGGGGCTTGCTCCTGGACTCCTGGCTGCAGTCGCTTTCCTCTCAGCTGAGCTCTGAAAACTTCCACGCCAGAACTGTAAAAGGCAGGATGTCTCCTGGAGTGGTTGTAAGAGTCTCAAGAAGAGATGTGCCTTCTCCTGGACCTGTGAGGCGACCTGGGACAGAGCACCTTCCTTCTCTGCGTTCGTTTCTTTCCTTCCTAAAGGTCTTGGAATGCCCCGCTCTGACATACACTCATTGAAATGCCCTCTGTGTTGGCATCAGTTAACATCTATGAATACTATTTCTTCCGCTGCCACAGACACTTGCAATACCTACAAGTGATTGATGCCCGGTGGATAGAATCCTGTCTCACATGCCTCAGGCCCTGGAATTTCAATCTCACAGTAATAATTGATTTTAAAGTTAATTTGGTTGAAGAGAGTCGAATTATCTTTAAACTTTAGAGGTAGAGCATTTCACTGATTCTTCACAGAAAGCTTTATGCAAGTAACACCTTTAAGACTTCTTATGAGCAGAAATTTCTCTCCAAGCTCCAGATTAACAAAATCTGTTTAAAAAAAAACAAATCAAAAACCTTAAAATTGGTTGCAAAAAGGGGCCAGAGCGATAGTACAGAGGGTAAGACACAGGCCTTGCACATGGTTGACTGTACTTCAATTCCAGGCACCCCATATAATACCCCAAGCTGGCCAGGAATGATCCCTGAGCACAGACTCAGGAGTAAGCACTATCTAAAGGCAGGGGTGACAACAAAACAAGACAAAATTAATTGAATCTAAACAGTAATATTCAGTTAAGTATCTTTTTCTTAGACTAAGGTATTTCTTAGACTAGAGAAACAATATTCCATAAAAGGAAGAAAGGATGACATGCATGTATTTCAAGGTGATTCATTAAAATAAATTTTTTAAAAGGATGAAATACAGGGCTGGAGAGACAGTACAGTGGTAGTGATAGGGTGCTTGCCTTGAATATGGCCCACTCAGCCTCAATCCCTGGCATCCCATGTGGTTCGCAAAGCACTGTCAGGAGTGATTCCTGAGTCCTGAGTCAGGAGTAACCCCTGACCACCACTGGGTGTATCCCACAAACAAACAAACAAAAACATGAGATTCTTTACAGGCAGGAAAGATGCTTAAAGGGTTGGAATTATGCTGGAGACCCAGGTTTGATCCTGTCATGGTGCCAGAGTGACCCCTGAGCATCATTTGGTATGACTCAAAAGCCAAAATAATAATAATAATAATAATACATATGTTACCTGACATATCATATCATATAAGACATGGGATTACCAGATCAGTCATTAATCATAGTTCTGCACAGGAAGAAAAAATAGTACTTGCCACCTGTTTGTGGCAAATTTACATTTTTCTCTGAAAAATTTATGAGACATATAGACAATTATGCAATTTCACCCTTAACAGTGTCTGGAGAAAGGAAAGTGTTATTCCTCTTTCACAGCTAAGGGATTTGAAGTAGAGTGGTTAAATAATAGTTGAAGGTCACAGTACTTGTCAGTGGAATAAATGGGATTAAATGGTTCTTTGCTTAGTCACAGCAAACAAAATTGGAACCCCAACACCTCCCTAGAGTCCTCTATCAATAACTATGAGGTCAACAGCGATTTACATATTCTGTGAAATGCACTAGTTGTTCTTATTGTTTTCACAGGAATGGCAAAGTGTGTAATTTGTTAGGCACTTATAATCCAAGCAAATAATTTATTGGATATAGTGCATGTATGTTAAATACTTTTTCTTTTTTTTCCTAGAAGATATTCCAATTATTCTCCCGAATGTGGTGGCCACACCTGCCCCTCACAGGGGAAGACATTTGCATAAGCCCTGGGTGATGGCTTATAAAGCCCATGAAAGTACCAATTTTGAGACTTGACCAAAGAGACAATCGTGCAATATAGTCTTTACAGTGCACCTGTATCCCAAACACTGTGTCTTCCCTTGAAATCTGTGACCTTGTTGTTTGGGGGTCACACCCAGTGGTACTCAGGGATCAAGAGGTACTCAGGGATCACTCCCTGGAATGCTCAGGGTGTATGAGCAGGGTCAGGGATCAAAGCTGGGGCTCTTGCATACAAAACAAGTACTCCAGCCCTTTGATCAAGCCCTCTCTTCAGTAACTGAAAATTGTGATTTTTGTCACTTTTTTAATCTTCACACATTCTACTCCTTCTCCCTGTCTCTGAATACCCAAAGTAACTCTTTTTTTAAGATCCATTCAAATGTTACTTGCTCCACAAGGTATATAGCTTTGTCCTCAGGTTATACACCAGGCACAACCTCCTCTGAACTCAGAATCCCATCACTTCCTTAATTTTTTCTATAACTCTTTCTGTATGTAGTTGGTAGAATTTTGTTTTTGGCTTTATGGATTACACCCATAAAGAGTCTCCTGCCCCCGCGCCTGGCTGTCCTCACCAGGGCCCCTTGGAGGGGGGAGGGTTGAGCTTCTCTCCCCCCCCCCCCCGCCCCAAGCAGAGCCCCAGCAGCTGAGGACCTCCGGAGCCAGCCACGGCCATGCTGGGACCACTCTCCACACATCCGGAGAGGCCTCATGCATGAAAGAACTGGCAGAGGAACCCAGGCATGCAGATCCCGGGGCTGATGTCTCCAAGCCTGCTCGGATTGGGACTGGGCCTTCTCCACCTAGACCCTCCATCTTCCAGTAGGTAGGCGTCACACCCACTAGCTGCCACCAGCACCAGGTTGGTCCCATCAACGGCCAAGACTCAGAGACTATAAAACCCAGCTCCCAAGACGCAGAGACTATAAAACCCGCATTCTCAGCCACGCGACATCTTATAATCTTATTTTCCTTTGGAGAACCTGGCAGGCTACCAAAAGTATCCTGCCCACACAGCAGAGTCTGGCAAACTTTCCGTGTTGTATTCAATATGCCAAATACCAGTAACAATGATGGGTCTCATTCTCCTAATCCTGAAAGAGCATTGAAATGGCTCTTTTAAAATCTCAGGGCTAGGAAGAAGGAGACGTTACTGGTGCCTGCTCAAGGAAATCAACGAACAACAGGATGATCATGATCATGATGGATTACACCCAGCAATGCTCAGGGGTTACTCCTGGCTCTGCAATCAGGAATTACTCCTAGAGGTGCTCAGGGGAATATGGGATGCTGGGAAATCAAACCCAGGTTGGCCATGTGCAAGGCAAATGCCCTGCCTGTTATACTTAGTACATTAAAACACATACATATCACTCTCGCACTCCTTCTGGCATAACTTTAATTCCATTATCAGTGCCCACTGTTTTGTCTTTTTGTTTTATCTCTTCATCAATTTTATATCCTCAAAATGATACATAAAACCATCCAACTTTTTCCTTGTGACTTTACTTCATGGAATTTCCTTCAGCTTCTTTCATTTTGTTGCAAATGGTAAGGTAAGGTAAAGGTAAAGGCCCTCCCGTTGGTCATCGATTTGCTCGAGCGGGCCCTGTAACGTCTCTATTGGAGACTTTGTTGTTACTGTGTTTGGCATATCGAATACATCACGGGTAGCTTGCCAGGCTCTGCCCTGCGGGCGAGATACTCTTGGTAGCTTGCCGGGCTCTCCGAGAGGGGCGGAGGAATCGAACTCGGGTCAGCCATGTTGGCTGCATGCAAGGCAAACGCCCTACCGCTGTGTGTGTAAATGGGTATCTACTTCCTAAGTGCCTCACATCCTTATCCTAACATTTATGGGCATTCATATTTGAGCTATTGTAAACTAAGGAAAAATTAGCTACTAAATAGAGCTACTGTAAATAACTAAAGCTGTAACAAATATTGGGATTGATAGAACTCTTTAAGTAAATGTTTTTGTATTCTCCGGTCTCTGAAAATCTTAGGTTCTCTGCTAGATAATAAGCTCTGAAGTCTGGGTTCAGGGCTTTAGTCGTCGTTATGAGGCCCTCTTTTTTAGTCAGTTTCTTGTAGTAGAAGTGATTGTCCAAGCACTTTGCAAGTTATGAGCACACTTGGCGGTACTTACTCCCGAGTATGTTCAGGTCTCACTCCTGACCCTGCTCAGGGGACCATGTATGGTGCTAAGGATTAAACCTGGGTTGTACACATGCAAGGCAAGTAAGTACATTAAGCCCTGTACTCTCTCTTGGGCCCCCAAGCACTTTTTAATGAACCAGCTTGTTAAATCCCAAACTCGATCACAAGACTAACACTTCTATTGCCACACGTCCTCTTCTGATTCCTCACCCTCAGTTCTCTTGGCAGGTTCCTCCTCTTCCCGCAGTTCCCTGCATGCTAGGGATGCCATAGACTCCAATGTACAAACTAGTCTCTTGTTCTCATCTCTACACGAGCTTTGAATATCTCCCATATATGAAAAGTGACTCATCTCACCCTTGAACCCCAGTGTATCCAGCTGTGCTGTTGGCATCATTGTCACTATACGTGTCTCAAAATATGTCCTGAGTTGGTTTGTCTTCTTAGTCTTGCCCTCATTTTCCTAAGAGCAGCTTCACCATCCGACTATTGCAGCTGAACACCCAGCAAG